GCCAATCACTGGCTCATTGGCCTTCCTCATTTTCCTGTGGCTCCTCAGAGAGATGCCTCCATCTGTCTTAAATCATCTTGGCAATTGCCTTTTTCAACACCAGAGTGCTAGCCCACTGTGTCGGCTACAGGATAATGGTCCCATTGGGGAAAGTCCTTCATGTCCAACCACTGTTGAATCCATTTTGAAAAGCTCACAAACTTGCCAGTGAACAGTAGCTCAGATACAAAGTCAATTTATTAGTTAAACATGTCCATAATCCTTTCTCCAGTCCTCTGGCGGCACTACAAGGGCTAATTAGTAGCAAGCTTTCATAACATACATTTTATGAAGAAATTGCTTTCCCCTTCCCCCAAAAACGAGCTTAAAATTGACTCCATTTATTATTTTTTTTAATCCAGAGTTTTAGTAATCTCTTTAGAGTAGGATAGACTAAAGGGAATGAATGTGTAAAATCTGTCTTATTTCCTTAAGTAGCTTTTATGGATTTTCTTCCCTCCCTCCCTCCCTCCCTCCCTCCCTTCCTTCCTTCCTTCCTTCTTTCTTTACTTCCTTCCATTTTTCTCTTTCTCTCTCTTTCTTTCCTTTTGTTTTCTATCTCTTCCTGTTTCTCCTTCTCTCTTTTTCTTTCTTTCTCTCTTTCTTTCTACCAAGCCTTAAAAACTACCCTTAAAAGTTTTGTGCTTAAAAGGGAAGATACAAGGCTATGTTGTACCCAATTAAAAAATAGTTTAGACTTACTAGAGAAGTCACCACAGTAGTAGGATGGAAAGCTCCTGAGCAGCATTTCCCCAGCAATAATAGTATCTCACCCATGTCAGGGGACCCACTTTTTTGGCCTTTGCTGGTCAGAAGGTATTCCTTCAGTCCCTATTAGAATGCATTAGAGTGATAATAGCAGTGTTTATATTATGCTCATTAAATGCCAGCAGGAACACAGGATAATACACTTAGATACCACAACCCATGGAGACACCAAGGTTACTATCATTTCCTTCTGTTTACTGATGACATGGGCTTCATGAGGTCATACTCAAAGTCACATGCAGAGTCAAGGTTCATGCCAAAGTTCTTAACCAGCCTTTCTTCTGCTTCCCCTAGAGGTCTTGTGCATTTGGGGTACAGATGGGTATCAGGAGGCCAATTTCTACACAGGGTGGGTAGTGGATCACTTCCCTTATTAATGTGGATTGAGTGCAGCTCTGCTACCAGTGATAGGCAGTAGGGACATTGAAATGCTCACTAATTCCCTTCTGTCTCATTTCTGGGATGCCTAGTCCCTGGCTCAGGCACAGCAATTCTGGGTTTATAGATGCAGAAATCTCATGGCTCTCACATTGACTGCTGAAGGATATGAGACGTGAGTTGGCAGATGGCCTTGCTGGGCTGGGACAGAGCAGTAAGTGTTCAGACCCAGCTGACATGCCTGAACACCTCACAGAGGCATTTCCCCAAATCCAACCCTTGCTCATAGTCCTGCAAGATTGGTTCTTCCTTCAAGGGGCTCAATTCCATATCACATCACTGTGTATCAAATAGCACTGTCTGCTCTTTATCCACGTGGCTTCTGTGAGGGCAGTAGGAAAGGAAAAGGTCATGTCTATCTCTGTTGTTGCATTTGGTGCCAGGTACAACAAAAACCAAGGGCATTAGAGCCCCGATGACCTTGGTAACTTGATCTCTTCCATGTGTTATAGCCAAGGGATAAATACTGGAGTTTAATGTCTAGGAGATGATTACTATTTTTGCATTTACAAAATGCTTTCATGTTATCTGAGCTTCATCACAGACTTTACAGGTAAAGAAAATACAGCACTTGCTTTGGTGCCCCATGGACCTGGATTCTGACCTGTATACTCAGCCACTACCCAGCTTTGTATATCCTCTAGGGCTCACTTTCTGTAGCTTATAAATGGTCATAATTGCTAGATGAGTCATGAAGTTTTTAATGAGGGGTGGAGGTCTTGATGTATAAGGAGAGTTTGGCAGAGTAAATGGCATAGAAAATAACCAGGACATATTAGCTTAGTACTAGTCCAATTGTCCAGCTATTAGGAACAAATCTGGCTACAATTAATAGTAAAGTGATATCAACTTAAACAAATTGTGGTTATTTTTCTCACATAATAGGAACTCAGAAGTCAAGCAGTATGCCGGCCAGGAGCTGAATGATGTCATTAAAGACTTTATTTCATTTCCTTCTACTTTCCATTGTTGCCTCACAGTTGCAAGATGGCTGCTGTACTTCTATCCATTGTGTGGAGGGCAGAAGTACAGTACTAGTCATATTTTCCACTCTGTATAATAGGCAAGAGCCTTCCTAGAACCTTACTTACAACCTTAGTAGATACTTGCTTATGTATGTCTTATTGGCCTAGACTAAGTCTTTTGCCTTCATAGTTACAAGGAACACTTGGAAAATGAGCTTTTCGGATTCATTGTAAAGCAGGCATGGAAGAAGATAGAATAAAATGGAGTAAGTTGAGCCAATAGGACTTGCCATGGTTGTTCATGTATTTTGCATTGTCATTTCAAAGACATTTAATTGGCCCTCAGGTATAGTGGGCTCAGTCCAATGTGCTCACAGCACATGAACAGCAACCCCCATTTCTAAACGATTTCCCTTTATTTTTACATAATGTGTATGTGCAGCTATTTTTTCCCCTAATTTCCCCTCACACCTAGACCCGATCTTTCCGTGTATCCCAGACTGGTCTCAAACTTGAGCAGCTCCAATCTCAGTGGGCTCTGAGTGTTCATTGTTCAGTTTTGCCCATTTGTGGGGTTTATTCTTTGTGGGTCTGATGTCTTTCACTCAGCTATGAGCTTTACCTGTGTTATTGCACGGGAAAGGTCAGTGGTCTTCTGCTTTCTCCCCCACTTTGTATCTGATCACAGACCTGGGATCATGAGCACACAGGTCACACACAGATAGAAGTTTTCCTTCTCCATTGATGGAGTGTCGTTTCCTCATGAAAAACACTGCTGTGACTTCTCACAAAGCTTGCCTGTGCCCGGCTGCTGCTGGCTCCAAAGCTACTTTAAAAGGAAGCTCTGGGAGACTTATCCATTTGCTGGAAGATGCTGTCAGCATAAAAGAATTTTCTTGGAGTGGGTGGTGGAAGAGAGTAGGGGATGGATTTGATCTGGAAGGACATTTTTAGGCAAAGGGGAAAAAGCAGCCACTAAAAGCATCATTTGGAACCAGAGCCTGAAAGTCAAGAGATTGGCATCATCCTTCTGTGTTCCTTCCCTTTCATACTCTCAATGAAGGACACAAGAAACTCCCAGCACCTCTGCCCTGTCTTGGGGTTGGGCAATCTGGTGTAAATTCAGGTCATTTCTGGAGAAGCCATCTTTTCCCAAGACTATGGGCACACCTAGCAGATCTGGTGTGTCTTTTATTTCTCTGTGAAAACAATCTGTCCCAGACCAACTTGAGAGCAGGAGGAAAGAGCTGAGAATTTCAGTGGAGCCTGAAGTGAGGAAAGGAGCTAGTTATTCATACAAGTATGGTCATGTATGTAAGTCAGGGATCATATAAGAAAACTGAAACTCTGTAATTTTCTCTGGTGGCTGGTCACCACAGACTTGTGTCTGCTGGGGTAGTGTCCTGGCATAGTTGTCTAAAGCTATGTCAGGAATTCTTTGTTCTAAAGCAGTTAGAATATGTTATTAATTGTATTGAATAGTTTCTATATTCCTAGCGCTTGCTAGAGGCTTTGCAATATATTATTACAATTGTTCTCCACAGCACCTAGAAGGTAGGAAAGACTGTTATTATTTTACTGCAAGTAAACTGAAGGACAGAAAATTTAAATAACCTGCTAGTAAAGGCCAGAAGAAAGGCTGATATTCATTCTTTCAGATTCCAACAGCTTTGAACCTTGTACTATATTTTCCTATCTTCTTTTTTTAAAAAAAAATTATTGTATAGGTGATGTACAGAGGGGTTACAGTTACATAAATTGGGTATTGAGTACATTTCTTTTGAACAGTGATACCCCCCTCCTTAATTTTCTCCCAATTTTTCCCTCCTTACCCCTGTCCCCCCAAGTTGTATAGTTTCATTTCCAACATAGTGTCTAGTGAGTAGCATTGCTGAATTAGTCACTCTTTGTCCCACCATTTCTGTGTTTCCCTTCCCCTCCCCAAATCAGATACTTACATACAATACAAAAGGCACAGAAATGAAAGGCAGTGACAAAAGGGGAAAAAACAGAAAGGAACAAGAAAGAACCACAAAAAGTAAAATAAAAAAAAAACCTTTTTTTCCCATTTTTTTGGAGTTCCTGTCTTCTTAAAATATATTGAATAATAAGGAGATATGGGCTCAATCCTGTCACTGCAAATCAAAACTGGTCATAAGACTGTAAGCCGAGACCCAATTGTTGTATGCCTCAATTTCTCTTATTTGAGGAGACTGGAGACTCTGATTTCTGATACTACCACCTAATCTAAAACAGGAGCACTTGCCACCTTTTTTTAAATTTGTGGTTCGAAAATGGGTTCAAAATGCCAGCAATTCTTAAAGGTAGCTTAATTATTAAGTGTAAATTCAGAGAGGTAGATAATGTTTCAGTTTTTAAAAATACACATACAGACACACGTACACACACATACACTCATTCTTTAATTTCTCAAGTAAGGCTACATTTTTCCATTGCCTTTCCCAGTCCATCATTCACACCAAGAAATGGTAAGTTCTTAAATAATTCATGTTGAAGCTTAGATTCCTTGAGGGTCTGGCAGGCTTTCATCTTGGATAGGATGATATAACATATTGCCAATAGCCAACCTCAAGTTGCCAACCTAAATAAAAATGTCTCCTTGTTCACTATATGAATTTGCAATATAAACCCTCTTAAATTATACCTTATACTATTGAATTTAATTAAGACACTATTAAGCAGCTCTAAAAATAAGAAATAAGACGCTACTATGCCCTAAGTAGTTATGAATATGCTGTACTCAAAGAAATTTTTATTATATCATTTCAGACCCAGAAAAGAGAAAACTGGCCATGTGAGTGACTCAGGAGCATCTGTTGTCAAACATGGACTCAATCCAGAGAAGACATTCATGCAGGTTCACTATTTAAAGGTAACTGAACAATTAACGGCAGAAGCTACTTTTAAGTTAAACAATTACATAACAAAGATTAGCAATATGTTTGAAGTAAAGCAAAAAAAAAAATCAACACTGTAATGACATTTCCCGAGGCAGAATCTTAGTGCCCACTAATTAAAACACTTCATACCCTAGGCCACTTCAGGTCAGTCAAACTTTCTAATTGCTGTTAAGTTTCCACCTGGAAAATGGATAAAAAGGAAGCATTTTAGGCTGAAATCGCTAATCCTGGGGGCTGAAGAAGAGAGGTACTGAGCCTCTCTTTTCTTTTGATTCATGTGAACCAGGTCAAAACAGGTGGTTTTAGCGTTAACAAGGGGGCTAAAGACTATCCTTCATGTCCATGCCCATCCTTCCTGGTCAGAATATAAAGGGTAGCCTGGGAGAGAAAGGTGGCACCTTCTGCATACACAGAGTGCATAGTGCTTGTGTGGGGAAGCACAAGCATCTTTGTTTTTCTCTCTTCTTTTTTTCTCCTAGGGCTACTTCCTTCTGCGATTTCTTGCCAGAACCCTTGGAGATGAAACCTATTTTTCATTCTTAAGAAAATTTGTGCACATGTTTCATGGGCAGTTGATTCTTTCACAGGTAATTTATGGGTCCTCATGAGAACCTGATATGCAATGGGAGGTAATGTAGCATGGGGGGATTGGATGATGTCAGTATGAAAAACAGGAGGAAGATTTAGCATTTTATGCAAGGGGGAAAAAGAGAAAGTTAATGAAGTGAATACAAGGGAATTGTTGGTCTAGGGGGAGAGCAAGCTCCTGAGAGTTCAAGGACAAGTTGTAACCCCAAAGCAATGTCCTGCATAGTGATAAACAGTAAAAGTGTTGTGTCCTAAATGACATTGACAACAAGAACAAACTAAGACTATTATTTTTTCTGCCTGGAATTATCTTTACAAGATTTTCTACTTGGAACCCTTGGATCATCATTTGATGCCACAGTGTCAAAGTCATCCTAGCTGATGACACATAGGCATCAGCCTCTTCTCTACTCCTCTGCCCTGTTGATTGTCTTCAGTGTCATTGCTGTTATATTTATAATCATATTTTAATTTCTGGAGTGTTTGTTTTTTTCTATTGCTTCCACTCAGTAGGACCTTTTATTTCACCTATATATAATACATGGCTGACTACAGTAGATCTGCCATGAATATTTGATAAACAAATTAATAGCAATACATATTGAACTATTCAGACATAAAACTATCAGAGAAAGACCTTGTCAGTTCACAAAGTAGGAGCAAAGTAGAGCAGCACATAGCAAGAAAGTAGAGCAGCACATAGCAAGAAATCTAACAAAGAGTGAGAGGTTCAAAAAGTTGTCCTCATAGCTGACAGAGAACAAATGATGCACCCAATTTTTGCTGGCTAATTGGAGATGAGAGTTTCACAGACTTGTCTGCCTGGGCTGGCTTTGAACCTCAATCCTTATATCTCAGCCTTCTGAGTATCTAGGATTATAGATGTGAGCCACCAGCACCTAGCACTCACATAAACTTGTGAGCTACATTATCCATGTTAGAGCTAAAGGATACATATGTATAATCTGAACATATGTGGAGGGAATAACATGAGTATAACAAGAAGACATAGGTACATTTCTGAATTCTTTTAATCTTTTAAGTAGCTAGTAGAGAGAGATTTAAGAATCAGTTTACAAGTACCATATGGTTGGTTGACTGATAAGTCCAAATTCCTGCTGTGTCAAATGAGTACCTTGTATTTACTGTGACTTCTGAGATTCTGATTTCTCATAAACTCCTAAAGGTCCATTTAGTACTCTCTCAACCAAGTTGATCAATTTTTCTTTGCTTGACTCTTTAAGAACCTTAATTCACATATATTCAGATATAATTCACATACCATAAAAATCATATTTCAAAATAGCTCTAGGCTGGATACCTGTGGCTCATGCCTATATTCTTAGTTACTCAGGAGGATGAGATGTGAGGATTGAGGTTCAAAGCCAGCCTGGGACAGGAAAGTTCTTGAGACTCTGTTATCTCCAACTAGCCATCAAAAAGCAGAAGAAAAGGTGTGGCTTACGTGGTAAAGTACAGTGGTAAAGTGCTAGCCTTGAGCAAAAAAGGCTAAGGAACAACGTCTAGGCCTTGAGTTTAAGCACTCAGACCCTGAGTTAAATTCCGAGAACTGGCACAAAAAAAGTGCTCTAGTTAGTGGGGCGGGGGGGGGGGGGGGGGCGGGGGGGAGCGTTCTTTGTAAGTTGTGAGGCTTGAACTCAGGTCCTGGACACTGTCCTTGACATATTTTGCTCAAAGCTAGCATTCTACCACTTTGAGCCACAGCTTCACTTCTGGTTTTTAAATGGCTAATTGGAGATAAGATTCTCATAGGGCTTTTTGGCCTGGGCTGGCATCAAACCGTGATCCTCAGATTTCAGCCTCCTGAGTAACAAGGATGATGGGCGTGAGCCAGCACCCACCTAATCAGTGATTTTTTTTTTTTAGTGTGTTTATAAAATTTTATGCTCACCAACATTACTTATTTTTTTAAAAAAATCTTTTACCATAGTGGGACTTGAACTCAGAGATTTTTGCTTAATAGTTATAAGCTCTATCTCTTGAGCTGTTTCCACTCCTGTTTTGCTTTCATTATTTTTCTAACAGGGTCTCACTTTTGCCCTTCTTGGATCACGATCCTCTTACTTGTATTTCAAGCTTTCCACATAATTGGGATAGAAGGCACAAGCCACCATGTCTTGCTCTTTATTGGTTGAGATACAGTCCCTTGAACTTTTTCCCAGGGTGGTCTTGAAGTACAGTCCTCCCAATCTCTTCTTCTGGGGAAGCTAGGTATACAGATGGGAGCTACCACTCTCAATAGAATTATCTATTTTTAGAATATCTTTATCAATCTCAAAAAAATCTATAGCAGTCACTTCCCCATAGGGAAGATAACCACCAATCTACTTTTTACGTTTATGAATTTGTCTATTATACGTATTTCATAGAAGCAAATCACATGTATTATATATACATATATATATATAATCTTTTGTATCTGCTTTACATCACATGTTTCCAAGATTAAACAGTATATATGCATCAGTGCTTCATTCTTTTCTGTGTGCCTTATTATGTTGCCTAGACTGGTCTTGATCTTGAGTTCAAGTGATCAACTTTGAATGATCAGCTTCGTATTTTTTTGTTGTTAGTACTTGGCTTTCAACTCAGGGCCTCACACTTTGCTATGCAAATGCTCTACCACTGGAGCTATATCCCTCGCTCCATTTAAAACATTTTAAATTACGATATTTAAATTATGATAAAATATACATGCCACAAAATTTACCATTTTATCCATTCCTAAGTATACACTTAAGTAGAGTTAAGTACACTTACATTTTTGGGCAACCATTACTATCATCTATTCTCCATAAATTTTTCATCTTCCCAAACAGAAATTTTGAACCCATTAAGCAGTCATTTCTAAGTATTTCAGCCCTCAGTATTAGGCAATCACCATTCTACTCTCTGTTTCTATTGGCTTGACTACTATAGTTTATTCATGTGAGTAGAACTACACAATTTTTTTTATCCTTTCATGCTTTTGTGTCTGCCTACCTCACTTAGCCTAATGGCCTCAAGGGTCATCCACATTGTAGTCATTATTTTCCTTTCAATAGTCCATTGGAAATACATACCATATTTTGTTTATCCATTCAGCATTCATGTACATTTATTTGAGTTGTTCACACCTTTTGGCTGTTGTGACTAATGCTGCTAAAAAACATTAGTGCTTAAATATCTGTTTGAGTCTATGCTGTCAATTCTTTTGTGTATGTATATATTAGAACTGGAATTATATGGCAATTGTTTTCAGATTTTTGAGAAACTGTCTTGTGGTTTCATACCATTTAAGTACAAGAATTCTAGTTTCTCTACATGCTTGTCAACACTTACTGCCTTTTGATTTTTTTTGGTTATTCTGGTGTAAAACTATATTTCATGATGGTTTTGATTTGCATTTCTCTAGTGGCTATTGCTGTGAAACATTTTTTATGTTCTTATTGGCAATGAATTTCTATTAAAATTCTTTACCTTCTTCCTCCTTTCTTCCTCTTCCTCCCCCCCTCCCTTTTTTTTTAACAATGGAAAGTTTCTTTGAAAGTGTATGGAAAGCCATGAAAGAAAGTAGCAGAAACTCCAGCTGGAGAGGGCACTAAAGAGAATCCCCTTTTGTGACTTTTTTTTATTTTGAGATAGAGTCTTACTATATAGCTTAGGCTGGTCTCAAACTCATGATTTCTTGCTTCTCCTAGGATTATAGATGTGTTCCACCATGCATAGTTTTCCTTTACTTACTTTTTATTTACATTGTTTTTTATTAGTATATTAAAACAGTACTTCATATATTCTGGATATGTCTCATCAAATATTTGACTTATAAATATTTTCCTTCATTTCATATAGTGTCTTTTTTTTTTTTTTTACTTTTCTGGTAGTATTCTTTACAATGGAAAAGGGTGTTGTTGTTGTTGTTGACAAGTCCAATTTATCCCTTTTCTCTTTACTTGCTTATTTCTCCAGGATTGCCATATCTAAAAACTATTGCCTAAAAAGTTCCTGAAGATTCACTTCTATGTTTTTTTCTAAAACTTTTATAGTTTTAGCTCTTACATTTAAGTTTCTGACCTAATTTATATTAGTTGCTTATGGTGTAAGGATAATGGTCTAACTTAATTCTTTTAGATATAAATACCTATCTGTGCCATAAATATTTCATGGAAAGACTATTAGTTTTCTTTCCTTGAAAAAAATAAACCAGGGCTGGGAAGGTGGCTCAGTGGTAGAGCGCTTGCCTTGCATGCCTGAGGCCCTGGGTTCGATTCCTCAGCACCACATAAGCAAAAAAGAAAAAAAAAAGCCAGAAGTGGCGCTGTGGCTCAAGTGGTAGAGCGCTAGCCTTGAGCTGAAGAGCTGAGGGACAGCGCCCAGGCCCAGCGTTCAGGCCCCACGACCAGACCTAAAAGAAAAAAAATTAAAAAAAAATAAACCAATGACCATTAATTTAAGAATTTATTTCTGGAATCTCAATTATATTGATCACGATTTCTAACATAATGACAGTTTCATATTGTCATGATTACTATAGCTTTGCTTTATAGTTGGAAATTACTGCTCTTTGAACTGCTATGTGCTCATTACAAAAAGTGAAGCAATATGGAAAAGTACAAAGAAGGAATTAAAACATCATTCAAAATTCCATCATCCAAAAGTAACTATAGAACGTAATTTAGCAATAGAATGTTTGCTAGCATGCACAAAGACCCCAACATTACAAACACAACACAAAAAATACATAGAAGATAGTCCTATTTATATAAAACTTCCATATTCCTGAATATTTTATTTTGAATCAACTCTTAGTTGGCTGAATTTCATTAACAAATTGATATTGAAGTCGCCATTTCACATATGACTTTGAGTTCTTACTGCTTAAGAATAAGAGAGAACTGTGGTTTGTATTCAAACTAAAAAATAGCTAGAGACCAGCCAGGCACTGGTGGCTCATGCCTGTAATCCTAGCGACTCAGGAGGCTCAGCCCAGACACAAAAG